GGATGGTCTTGATCTCCTGACCTCATGATCCGCCCGTCTCGGCCTCCCAAAGTGCTGGGATTACAGGCTTGAGCCACCGCGCCCGGCCTTGAATTTTTATTAGAGATGGAGTTTCACCATGTTGCCCAGGCCTGTCTCAAACCCCTAACCTCAGGTGATCCGCCAACCTTGGCCTCCCAAAGTGCTGGGATTACAGGCGTGAGCCACTGCGCCCAGCCCTAAACCTGATTTTTCATAAGTGTTCTTTCTTAATTTTGCTATTGAAGTGTAATTGGGTGAGTTGTTCTGTTTGAGTAAAAGGAAGAGCACCCTTAGATTGGAATCATCATGTGCTAAAGAAGATATAATGCGGCTGGGCCTGGTGGCTCACACCTGCAGTCGCAGTCCCAGTACTTTGGGTGGCCGAGGCGGGTGGCTCACCTGAGGTCAGAAGTTCAAGAGCAGCCTGGCTAACATGGAGAAACTCCATCTCTACTAAAAATACAAAAATTAGCCGGGCGTGCTGGCGGGCACCTGTAATCCCCACTACTCAGGAGGCTGAGGCAGGAGAATCGCTTGATCCCCGGAGGCAGAGATTGCAGTAAGCCAAGATTGAGCCACTGCACTCCAGCCTAGGTGACAGAGCAAGACTCTGTCTCAAAAAAAAAAAAAAAAAAAAAAAGAAGAAGATATAATGCTTTTCTCATGAAGCAGTTCTACCTAGGTATTTACCAATTTACCATTAGCTGGGTGGCCTATCTGATGCTTGGCCTACTTGAACTTTTAATTATAAGAGCTTTGTAATTTTTTTTTTCTGTGATAAAAGCAGCCTTTTCTAAAAAAAAAAAATTTTTTTTTTTAAATTGTGGCGGCTGTGATAGCTCACGTGGTGGATCACCTGAGGTCAGAAGTTCAAGACCAGCCTGACCAATGTGGAGAAACGCTGTCTCTACTAAAAATACAAAATTAGCCAGGTGTGGTGGCTCATGCCTGTAATCCCACCTACTAAGGGAGGCTGAGGCAGGAGAATTGCTTGAACCTGGGAGGTGGAGGTTGTGGTGAGCCGAGATTGCATCATTGCACTCCAGCCTGGGTAACAAGAGTAAACTCCATCTCAAAAACAAACAAACAAAAATTGCTTGTCTTTTGTTTCATTTTAGAGGAGGATTTGTGAGGTCTTTTTTTTTTTTTTTTTTTTGTTGAGATGGAGTCTTGCTCTGCTGCCCAGGCTGGAGTGCAGTGGCGCCATCTTGGCTCACTGTAAGCTCCACCTCCCGGGTTCACACCATTCTCCTGCCTCAGCCTCCGGAGTAGCTGCGACTACAGGCACCTGCCACCACTGCCAGCTCATTTTTTGTATTTTTAGTAGAGACGGGGTTTCACCATGTTAGCCAGGCTGGTCTCGAACTCCTGACCTCGTGATCTGCCCACCTTGGCCTCCCAAAGTGCTGGGATTACAGGCGTGAGCCACCGCGCCTGGCCTGTGAGTTCTTATATCAGTATTTGGTATGAAAAGTTGAGTGATGAGAAAAGCATGAACTACGAAGGAAAATTTGGGAATAGGCTAAGAAGGAAAATTTGAGAATAGGCTGTAGTTAGAGTCATTTGATACACATAGGGTACTTCTGGAGGTCAAGCATGGTATACTACTCAGACCATTTGGTTCCCTGGGTATTTTATGAGAGCATTAGGATAAAATTGTTCCACTGAGTATGTGTAGAGGGAAAGAAAAAAAAATAACATTGGGATATCCTCACTACCTCCATCCCCATCCCCACTCCCATAGTAATCATCCTAAAGCTTTAATTAAAATAGTTTCTGGGCCGGGCGTGGTGGCTCACGTCTGTCATCCCAGCACTTTGGGAAGCTGAGGTGGGCGGATCATGAGGTCAGGAGTTCAAGACCAGCCTGGCCAAGATGGTGAAACTCAGTCTCTACTAAAAATACAAAAATTAACCAGGCGTGGTGGCACACACTTGTAGTCCCCAGCTACTGGGGAGGCTGAGGCAGTGAACTGCTTGAACCCGGGAGGCGAAGTTTGCAGTGAGCCAAGATCACGCCATTGCACTTCAGCCTGGGTGATAGAGCGAGACTTAAATAATAAAAATAACAAAATAAAATAACAAAACAAAATCTTAAAATAACAAAAGACAATGGTTTCTAAGCCCGGCACGGTGACTCACTCCTGTAATCCCAACACTTTGGGAGGCTGAGGCAGGTGGATCACTTAAGGTCAGGAGTTCGAGATCAGCCCGGCCAGTGTGACGCAACCCTGTCTCTATTGAAAATACAAAAAAATTAGCCGAGCATGGTGGCAGGAGCCTGTAATCCCAGTTACTCAGGAGGTTGAGGCAGGAGAATCGCTTGAATCTGAGAGGCGGAAGTTGCAGTGAGCTGAGATCGCGCTACTGCACTCCGGCCTGGGTGACAGAGTGAGACTATCTTAAAAAAAAAAAAATGGTTTACAGCTTGAAGATGAATTACTTACTATGCAAGTAATTTATCTTTTTAAGGAAAATCTGCTGAAGTTTAAATGTATAAACCAGTTAGATTACCAAATCACATCAGAAAGGATCCTCTGCTCTGTGGAAGGATTTTCTTTAAAGAATGTTAAATAAGAAGACTTGGCCACAGGGCAGGGAACATCCCACACTGGGGCCTGTCGTGGGTTTGGGGGAGGGAGGAGGGATGGCATTAAGAGAAATACCTATTGTAAATGATGAGTTAATGGGTGCAGCACACCCACATGGCACATGTATATCTATGTAACAAAACTGCACATTGTGCACATGTACCCTAGAACTTAAACTATAATAAAAAGAAAAAGAAAAAAAAAAAACAACAATGTTAAATAGGAGTTTCCTTAAGTATTTTGCAGATAACTAATTTCTTTTTTTCTTTTAATTCAAAAAATAACAATAATAGAGATGAGGTGTTGCTGTGTTGCCCAGGCTGGTCTCAAAGTACTGGGCTCAAGCAATTCTCCTACCTCGGTCTCCCAAAGTGCGGGGACTACAGTTGTGAGCCACCCTGCCTGGCCTGATAACTGACTTTTGTTTTGTTTTGTTTTGTTTTGTTTTTTTTAGACAGAGTCTCACTCTGTCACCCAAGCTGGAGTGCAGTAGCACAATCTCAGCTCACTGCAACCTCTGCCTCCTGGGTTCAAGCGTTCTCCGCCTCAGCCTCCTGAGTAGCTGGGACTACAGGTGTGCGCCATCCCACACCCAGCTTTTTTTTTTTTGCATTTTGTAGTAGAGACGGGGTTTAACCATGTTGACCAGGCTGGTGCTCAAAGACCTCAGGGATCTGCCCGCCTCGCCTTCCCAAAGGCTGGGATACCGGCAATGAGCCACTGCAGCTGGCCGCTGACTTCTTGAAAGAAGCAAAAATGGAAAGAACTATTTAAGCAAGTAATTGGGAAAACTTAAAAATTAAGAGTTAGGCTGGGCACGGTGGCTGCATGGCCTATATAACCCGAGCACTTTGGGAGCTGGAGGCAGGCACAGACTAGCTTGAAACTCACGAGTTCAAGGAGCAGCCTGGTGCAGCATGGTGAAAGCTGGGTCTGTACAAAAAATAAACAAAAAAAAAAGATTGAGCCAGGCATGGTGATGCACGACTGTAGGTCCCAGCTACTTGCGAGGCTGATGGGAGGGGACAGCTTGGGCCTGAGAGGCAAGAGGTTGCAGTGGCCAAGATTGTATCACTGCACTCCAGCCTGTGGCAATAATGCCAGACTTTGTCTTGAAAAAAAAAAAAAAATTAAGAGTACGTGTTAAAAGAAATATAAGCGGGCGCGGTGGCTCAAGCCTGTAATCCAGCACTTTGGGAGCCGGAGACCGGCGGATCACCGAGGTCAGGAGATCAGACATCCTGGCTACACAGTGAAACCCCGCTCTCTACTAAAAAATACAAAAAACTAGCCGGGCGAAGTGGTGGGTGCCTGTAGTCCCAGCTACTCGGGAGGCTGAGGCAGGAGAATGGCGTGAACCCGACGAGGAGGAGCTTGCAGTGAGCTGAGATCCGGCGCACTGCATCCAGCCTGGGTGACAGAGCAAGACTCGTCTCAAAAAAAAAAAAAAAAATATTATTGCTTGGGTGCTGGCTCACGCCTGTAATCCAGCACTTTGGGAGCCGAGTGGGCAGATCACTTAGGTCAGGAGTTCCAGACCAGCCTGGCTAACATGGTGAACCCCGTCTTACTAAAAATACAAAAATTAGCTGGCATGGTGGCACGATCTGTAGTCCCAGCTACTTGGGAGGCTGAGGCAGGAGAATGCTGAACCCAGGAGGCAGAAGGTGCAGTGAGCTGAGATCGTGCCATTGCACTCTAGTCTGGGCAACAAGAACAAACTCTTTTTTGTCTTCAAAAAAAAAAAAAAAAAAAAAGAATACAGGAATAGCCAATAGAGGGTGCAGTCACTTCTTCTATACTAACAAAGCTTAATGTCATGCCAGCTGACAAGAAATGTTTATAGGGTCCAGCCCCAGCATCACCAGGCAGGACAAAGAAGGGTAGATTTGGAACTGAGAGGCAATACATTTGTAACTGGCACAATACGTATCTCTGAAATTATAGGGAAAGAAATAGGGAAATATAATAATTCATTTTATAATACTGTTAAGTAATACTTTTTTTCCCCAACAAGGAAATATCCACAGTTAGAGTAATACTTTTGGTTCATAAAGTTAGGCATGTCTGTTGCCAGATCTAGTGCGCTTCCCTCTTACAACTTAGCTATGAGAATAGCACACAGATGTAAGAGAAGGTTATGAACAAAGTCTTTCTGAAAGTACATCTTGGCCAGACACAGTGGCTCATACCTGTAATCCCAGCACTTTGGGAGGCTGAGGCAGGCAGATCACCTGAAGTCAGGAGTTCAAGACCAGCAACATGGTGAGATCCTGTCTCTACTAAAAGTACAAAAATTAGCTGGGCGTGGTGGTGCACACCTGTAATCCCAGCTACTCAGGAGGCTGAGATAGGAGAAGCGCTTGAATCCAGGAGTCGGAGGTGGCAATGAGCAGAGACTGTGCCACTGCACTCCAGCCTGGGAGACAGAGCGAGACTCCATCTCAAAAAATAAATAAATAAAAAATAAAAGTATA